GATGGACGGATTCATCATGTCGGGTCTTCTTGTTTGTTCTCTGGAGCTTTCTTAACCTGAGAGTAGTGAATCCAAGTAGGTCGCTCCTTTATCCGAACCACGGTGAAGGTGGTCAGCAACACTTGGAAAGGTCCCTCCCACTTTTCTTGTAGGGGTTTTCCTAAAAGATTCTTAACATACACCCAATCACCGGGGTTAAACGGATGCAGTTTGCAATCAGTTTGTTTGGGCTGGTGTTCTACTACTACAGTGGCATTTTTATCAAAATGTTTTCCTACAGCAATTACATAATCATATATATGTATGGTCAGTCTTCCCGAACGAAGATTTTGGGAAAGGTCTTTTACCTTTCCAGCCTGTGCAATGGATTTTTTAGGTGAGACACAGCATGCGCTGAACTGAGCCCACCCTTTAAGGGTCATCTGCTGGGGCCAAGTCAGCTTGGACAATGGCAGTGAGGTCCTCAGGATGTAGGTTTGTTTAGAGTGACCTTCTCATAGATGGATGGCCTCACAGGGCTAACGAGCTCCATCTGCCTGGGGGATCGGGAATCGAACCTGGGTCGCAGCAGTGAGAGTGCCGCATCCTAACCACTAGGCCACCAGGGGTCCCAATCATATATATACTGATTACCTATTTGGTCTATAGCATCACTATTTACAATTTGCATAGCATAAGGTCGACCGTACAGTATCTCAAATGGGCTTAGTTTTTCTTTTGATCGAGGTTTAACTCTTAACCTGATCAGAGGAATAGGCAAAGCTTGGTACCATTGTAAATTAGTCTCTTGACATATTTTAGCAATTTGCTGTTTGATAAGATGGTTCATTTTTTCCACTTGCCCACTGGCCTGGACCTGTAGGACGTGTGCAATTGCCATTTGATCTGCAATGCTTTGCTTATTGCTCTCACAACTTTTGCACAAAAATGTGAACCTCTGTCTGAAGAGATGCTCTTTGGCACCCCAAACCGTGGTATGATCTCATTTAACAAGACTCTAGTTACTTCCCTTTCTTTGTTTGTCCTGCAGGGGAACGCTTCAGGCCACCCAGAAAATGTGTCAGTCAACACCAATAAATATTTATACCTCCCTTTTCTTGGGAGTTCAGAGAAATCAATTTGCCATACCTCACCTGGGAATTTACCTCGGTTTATTGCTCCTTGATTTATTTTAGTTCCTGTATTTGGGTTGTTCTTTAAGCATCGTTCACATTGGGATGTGACTTGCTTTATGGTAGTGAATAATTTTGGTCCGGCTATTCTAGCCTGCAAATACTGATAAAGTGGATCTAAACTCCAATGGGCCTTTTTGTGTTCTGTTTTTACAAACTGCCACATTAGTTTCCCTGGTATTATTAGTTGTCCTGTTTCTAGTTGGCCCCATCCATTGTCTAACAATTTGCCTTTATTTCTTTGGATCCACTTATGATCTGATTCCTGATAGTTTGGTTGAAAGTTGGTATCTAGCTCCCCTGGTACTAAAGCTGTTATGGTCACTTCTTCAGTTCTCGCAGCAGCTAATTTAGCTTCTGCGTCAGCCTTCCTATTCCCTATTTCTGGAACAGTGTCACCTTTCAGGTGTCCCTTGCAATGCATTATGGCCACTTGGGCAGGGAGTTGGACTGCTTCTAACAATTGTAGAATTTCCTCTGCATGTTTGAGAGTTTTCCCTTGGGCAGTTAGCAGTCCTCTTTTTTTCCAAATTGCTCCATGAGCGTGCACCACAGAGAAGGCATACTTAGAGTCTGTCCAAATATTAATTCGTATGCCTTCTGCCAATTTGAGAGCCCGGGTGAGGGCTATCAGTTCTGCCTTCTGGGCTGAAGTCTCTGCAGGTAAAGGGTTTGATTCGATTACCTCTTCCGTTGTGGTCACTGCATAGCCTGTCATCCTTACTCCTTGTTTTACGAAGCTGCTGCCATCGGAGAACCAGTTGTCTGCATCTTCAAACGGTTCTTCTTTGAGGTCTGGGCGGCTGGAGTAGACAGCTTCGATGGCGATGCCTTAAACCCCAATGGTTTTCTTATTTTTCTACCTTATAAGTTTTATAGGTAGTAGAAGTAGATTTTAGAAACACTCCTTTCTCCCTCCTCCCCATAGTACCCCTTAGTTTATACATTCCTTAATCCTCTCACCCCATTCCATACTCCCCATATCGACCCTATTCCCATATCCAGTAGAAGATGTTTTGTCTCTTAGTCAAGGCAAGCCTGTCTTGTTTGGGGAACGCTTGTATCTTGGCCTAAACCGCAGGACAGAGTCAAGGAACTGGGTGACTCTGCTCTCTGTACCCCGAAGATGATGAAGGATGATGAAGAGGGGGTCCCAAAAGCCCCCCGACCCAATTCCAGGAGGTGGGCCAGGGGGTGGACCGGAGCAAAAGTTACGGGGAGGACACACTTGGGATTGGCCAGATATTGTTATAAATGTAACATCTCGGGCACAGTCTGGGGCGCGCGTGCGTCGTTTACCATCTATTGCCTTGGCACAATTAAACCCTTTCTTATCTCACCCCAACTAACGGCTCCTGGATTTTTTTCTAAGCACCAGCTGAGCAGGCATCAGTTTGGTGGCCCGTACGGGGAAACCTGGACTGGAACTTCTCCAGACTGGAAACTTTCATTGTGCAGGAATTCCTCATCAAGCCGGCTTTTATCTGAGACAATTCCCGCCCCGGTCTGAGAAGCCCAGCTCCAAAGAACTCACGGAAGCAAGCCGGAGCATAGAGGTGAGAAAAGAAAAGGCAAAATAAGGGAAAAGGTACCTGGTTTAATTAGCAGCTGCGGGAAGTTGGCAGCTGCGGGAAAGTTTGTGTTCCCGGAAGGTGGGGAACACGGGTTCCTGGAAAGTTAAATTTAAGACTTGGGCCCATATAGTCTCAGAGAGTCGCTTTCCAGGAGGCGGACAGGGTGGTCCGCCCACCCGGGTCAGAGCAGGGTTCAGTCTAGGACTGGTTTGTTGGAAGGGACGCCTTCTTGTGTGCTCTGACGCCGTGGGGGAGCCGGTGTAGGCTCTGGGAGTCGGTGTGACTCGGAACAATAGCAGAGAGGTTACTGGAACAGCTTGTAACCCCAAGGTAGTAAGTTCTAATCCTAGTGTGTGTGGTCGTGGTTCATTCGCATTTTACAAACATGGGTTGTGTGGATTCAAAGTTTGAGATCCCTAAAGAATCCCCCTTGGGTTTAGTTTTGAAGCATTGGAAAGTTTTAACCGGCCCAAATACAATCTTAAAAAAGGAAGAACTTTGTAAATTGTCTGTAAATGCATGGCCCTTATTTGGACAGACAAGAGGGATAGTGTGGCCAGAATGTGGTCCCTTTGAATTGGATATAGTGTTGAAATTAATTTCACTCCTCAATATAGAACAGAAATGGGAGGAGATCAGATATGCAGAACTATTTTTATTTCTGCTAACATGCCCTGGATTGAGAGAAAGCAGGCCAGAGGGGGCTGGAGCTACAGGAATAGCGGCCCCTGGGCAGGTACAGGTCATTGGAGGACTCCTGGGTGTGAGTCTGGCCGCACCGGGAGGGATTAGACAAATTGAGACCCCCGGAGGAGTTAGCTCGGGGCCGGCGGGAGTGAGTCCCGCCAGTGTGGCTGTAAGAATGGAAACTGTTAGTTTGGCTGAAGTAGGCACCGCGGTGCAAATAAGATCGGCTTTTGTGGAAGCTGCTTCTAGCATGGCAGAGCAGAGCGAAAGTTATGCTGCGGGGTTAAGCTCAGAGGTAACATCTAATTTGGCTAAAACAGGAGCGACACCAGGAGAAACTCCTGGCCCCAGCGGGGCGATCGAAGCGGGGTCTCCCCTGCCTGTCCCGGCAAGCATGCAGGGAGCCTGTAACTTTGCAGCTGCTGCTGCTGGCAGCCTTGCCGGAGTAGATAGGGTTACCGCAGTGACAGCAGAGGTAAGCACGGGAGGAGTAGATAGTTATATCGCTAACGGGATAGGAGCTGTGAAGGCTGAGAAGTCAGCTTTTACTAGAGTTGCTTTTGACGTCGTAACACCAGAAAAGGTTGTTACAGATGCGGCATTTGTTGTGGAAATAAGAGGGATTGAAGTTAACTCTAACAATGGTAGTAAAGTGAAAGTGTCGGCCCCGGGGGGGCGACAGCACTGGGTGTAGGTATGTTTGCGAGACCAAGTAGCTCAGCGCCGCAGGTGGGTGCTGAAGTAGTTTATTTTTTCGGTAGTGATAACAGTATGAGAACTGTAAAAACGGAGTTGCATGCCCCGAGTGCAAGAGAGACCCTAAAGTTTACTGCTGTAGGGGCAGAAGCAGAAGAAATGAGTTGGGTTAAGGTGTATGAAGTTAGACAGGAGGCAGACGAGTCGCCTACATATTTTCTAAACAGATTAAAAGATGTTGTCAGAAAATATACTGACATAGATACAGAGCCAGATGTGGGAAAGAAACATCTAGTATACTTGTTTGTGAGACAGTCTACAACTGATATAAAGAGAAAACTGCGAAGGGCAGGTGGTACTGAAAGAGATATGGATGAATTATTAGATATAGCTTGGTCAGTGTATCAAAGTAGAGGACAGAAAGCGAGTACGGTAGGCGGTGAGACAATTGGAGGAACAGTCGTTGCTGCGGCAACGAAACTCCCAGCTAAGAGAGCAGGGGAGGTTTCTGGAACGGCCGTTACCACGGCAACGGGGCTGGCTGGCGCAGCGAAAAGAAAGTTGTAGCCTGTTTCTGGTATTGTAAAACAGGGAGCGATCCCGAAATCTAAGACCGTGGCGAGCACAGTGAGGCAGGGACAGACAAAGCTAGTCCCAGTTGTTACGTTAACTGACGAGGAGGTTTTGATCCCTGCTAATGTAATCCGAGCAGGGAAAGCAGACGCGAGTGCTATGAAAGTTGTGAAACCGTTTGGTGCGGTAGCACGAGAGAGTGCTGGGGCCATTGACTTTGAGGGGGTGACGAGACCCAGCGCTACCCCTACTGTTTTGGGAACCGCCCCAGGTGCGGCAGGCGCAACCAGAGGTCGAGCTGTAGAAAGAACACCGGGAGCTAAGAGAAAGGCGAGGGCAAGGAGACCTCCCCCACCCGAGCTGGCTGGCATGGGGGGGGTGACCCCTTCACACGGAACTACTGATCCCACGCAAACGGTTACAGTGAGTCCGAGTGTTGTAAAAATTTCAAAACCACCTGACAATTTTACAGCTGTAATAATGATAAAGATGCCTGCTCCCATAACAAGCGGAGCAGGGCTGAGGGCGAGAGCGACCAGTGCCCAACCTATCCCGAGATGTAAGAGAGGAAGAAGGAAGTCACGCGACTGTCGCAGATGCCGCCACCGCTCCGCGAGCGCAGGGGTAACGTTAGCCACCGGCACAGTGAAAGTGAGTCCAGCCGCGGGACAGTTAGAATCCGGGTTTGACACAAGAGCTGCTGCCGCTCCTGCAGATGGAGGGGGGCCGCAACGAACGCAAAAGCTAAAACCCACCAGTGCAATATATGCAATAGGTGATGTTTTAAAACTGAATTGTAATGCCGTAACTACAATTAGAATTACAGAAATAAGTGCCACTCTTTAAACTTTTAGATTTTAAACTGGGTAAATGTAGGGTATTGATTCTTTGTTGATTCTTCTGTATGCTAAAGTTGCTTAATTCTTTATTGAATGAGAGTTTATTGAGAAATTAAAAGTTAAAATCAAATTCCGCAAAGGGAAGATAAAGTTATAATTTGTGATACTAATTATGTTGAAGTAATTATCTTTTCATGCAGGAGAACCATGAAGAAATCCCTACAGAGGCTGAGAGTGCTGTCATCCCAATGGTATGGGCCAGCATCACACTCAGACTAAAACCAATAATTACCAAAAATACCACAAAATTGGGAATCAATTACCCACAAATGGTGAGTGTTCTTTCTGTGAAAGAGGGGACACTAGAAAATTACCCAGGTCCAAAAAGAAAACTGATTTGTCCCCAATAAACAGAACTGAAAAATAGAAACTATCTATTAACCCCTGTGTCCCCTGTTTTCTAGGACAGGCCCATGGCCTGTGAAAATATTCCTACCCTAATTCAGAAAGGGGGGGTAAAAGAACCATATATTAGCCCCTGTGTACCCTAAGCCTGTTTCAGGCTCACAACCTATGAATATTCCTGCCCTCTGTGCCCTGACTGAGTTTCAGGGAACTGTGGCAAAATTTAAAAGGGAGATCACTGTTTTGCTTTGAGTGAGAACTAACAATGTGTCAGAAATTGACTGTTTACAGGTAGTCTGTTCCAGCAAACAGACCTGAAAAGCAGTACCACCGAAATTCAAACTGGAAGCCATAAGAACACCTTTTTGCAGAAGTAGACAAATGTCTCAACTGCAAATGAAATACATCAGAACCAAAGAGTGAGTAAACAGAAGCCAACATAAAAGCCTTCTGACACAACTTAAAATCAATTTGCATTAAAAGTGGTACATGTACATACATTGTAATTCTTGTATCTGTTTTACTGTTTTAGTATTTCTATATTATTTTAAGTTTCTCTTGTTGTTAGCTTAATTGCTAAAAATTAAAAGCTTGTATTACTTTTACTATATGAATTGCTTTAAAGCTTGCAATGTTTATACTTGCACATATCTTGTTCCAGCAGCAATTTATAAACATCTATGTCTCTTAGGCTACTGCAGCCTGTGAAATAATTCCTCTTGTAAAAAGCAGTTTGATAAAGGCCCATAGAATTTTTATGTGAATTGTAGAATCATGTTTATCTACTTATGTTTTTAAGATGCTTTCATATCTAGTGTCATCTAGGAATATACGTGAACCCGAACTGCATAGAAGAAATCCTACACTAAGACCAAGGACAGATAAAAAGTGACTTCAGTGCTGAGACAACAACAGCACTAGTTCTATGGACTCTCCTAATAAGCCTCTAAAAATCTGGCTTGCACCATTGCCTGCAATTTTTGAGATGACCTGGTAACATCAATTGTTGGAATAATTGGTTAAGTTACCTAAATAGTTTACCGAAATTGCTTTCTAGCTTCATTATTTCATTAGTATTCATGAACCTGTGAATGCACCTATTTTAACAGGTGTAGAAGCTTTTATCCATGGAGGCAAGAGGCCCCTGTATGACCACTCCATGAGGTAAAGATGATTCACTGCAGTCTGGGACAGGTTGGAACAGGACAACCTGCCCCCGGTAAGGCCTAGAATTAATCCAGAGAGTATAAACTCTCTGTGGTGAGCAACTGGCACTGCCAGGGTGCTGTTTGCATCCAGACGCAGCCTGCCTCAGGTAAACTCTTAACTGGCCTATTAGATCTGTGACTGGCAGTTAATCGCTTTATGTGATAAAAGCGCGAGCTCCTCTCTCAGAAGATTGAAATACAGGAATTCTAAGATTCAAAATTCCTGTGAAATTATCATCAGACAGAGAGTCACAATTCATCAACTCCCTAGTCACCTAAGGAGGTTTATTTGTGAAATTGTTTATGTTTTAAGATCTGCTTTGCAGGAACTGTGGAAGTTCATTGAGTCATCTAAACCTGTGAGACTGGACACATTCCTGCTCACCTGCTCCAGCCCAAGGACTGAGTTTATGTTAAACAATGGGACTGAAACTCCTGCAAACCACACGAAAAGAACTGTTTTCAAGTCCAGCAAACCATTTCCATCGTGGTCAAGAGTTACCATCAAGATCCTGAATTTCACCCAGGAAGAAGAGAACCTCTGTTCCTGAGACGAGTAGAGCAACAAAGACTGTTGTTTATAAGGACTGTTAAAATAGTGTTTAAGTTTTCCTTACTTGTTTGTATTAATTAGTACTGCCAGTAACTATGAATTGAGTTTAGAACCTAAATTTACATTTGGCTTCAGCAAAATATACCAAACATCCTTCATAAAGGTGAGTGCTAAATTTGCACTATGAATTTGGCAACAAATTTGAATTATATATTGGATAATTCTTAGAAATGTTTCACTAAGTTTGCCTTCACAAACTTACTTCATAGTTACCAAGCTGAACCTAGTTAGAGCAGCCATTCATGTTAGCATTAAGTTTACTTAATAGTTTGTTATATTTTTAGTATTATGTATAAGTAGTATTATGTGTAAGTAGTAGAGATTGAACAAGATCTCTGAGTCTTGTTTAATCTCTAAAGGGGGGACTGATGCCTTAAACCCCAATGGTTTTCTTATTTTTCTACCTTATAAGTTTTATAGGTAATAGAAGTAGATTTTAGAAACACTCCTTTCTCCCTCCTCCCCATAGTACCCCTTAGTTTATACATTCCTTAATCCTCTCACCCCATTCCATACTCCCCATATCAACCCTATTCCCATATCCAGTAGAAGATGTTTTGTCTCTTAGTCAAGGCAAGCCTGTCTTGTTTGGGGAACGCTTGTATCTTGGCCTAAACCGCAGGACAGAGTCAAGGAACTGGGTGACTCTGCTCTCTGTACCCCGAAGATGATGAAGGATGATGAAGAGGGGGTCCCAAAAAGCCCCCCGACCCAATTCCAGGAGGTGGGCCAGGGGGTGGACCGGAGCAAAAGTTACGGGGAGGACACACTTGGGATTGGCCAGATATTGTTATAAATGTAACATCTCGGGCACAGTCTGGGGCGCGCGCGCGTCGTTTACCATCTATTGCCTTGGCACAATTAAACCCTTTCTTATCTCACCCCAACTAACGGCTCCTGGATTTTTTTCTAAGCACCAGCTGAGCAGGCATCAATGGTCTCTAGACAGTCGTGCTCGATTGGTTCTGCTGACATTCTTCCCTCTAGAAATGAGACTGTGTTCACAATGTTAGTGACTTGGATGGTTACATCATCTGACTCAGCTAGTATTGCCTGGTACTTTAGGAATCTAGAAGGTGACAACCAATGGTCACCTTTCTGCTCGAGTACTGTGGATACAGTGTGGGACACTAACACAGTCATTTTCTGGCCCAATGTGAGCTTTCTGGTCTCTTCTATGTTTATGATTACTGCGGCCACTGCTTTCAGACAGCTGGGACATCCTTTACTTACTTCATCCAACTGTTTGGAGAAATAAACTACAGTTCTTTTGTGTGGTCCCAACTGTTGTGCTAAGACTCCTAAAGCCATTCCTTGCCGTTCATGAGAGAACAGTCAAAATGGTTTTGTTACATCGGGCAGGCCCAAGGCTGGGGCTTTCATGGGTTCTTGTTTCAGTCTCTTGAAAGCTCCCTCTGCTTCGAGAGTCCAGACTCGGACACTCTTAGTCTCTTTCAGTAAATCATACAGTGGTTTGGCGAGTATCCCGTATTGATAAATCCATAAACGGCACCAACCTGTCATTCCCAGAAAGGCTCGTAGATCTCTCACCGTTTCTGGTTTAGGCATTTGGCAGATGCCTTCTTTTCTTGCTGTTCCTAGGGATCGTTGTCCACTGGAAATTTCATATCCCAGGTACACCACTTTTTCTTACACCAGCTGCGCTTTCTGTTGAGAGACTCGATATCCGTTTAAACCCAGGAAATTCAACAGAGAAATAGTCCAGTTAACACATTTTTCTTCTGTTTCAGTTGCTATTAACAGGTCATCTACGTATTGTAGAAGAGTGCCATTTCCCTGTGGCCTTTCCCATTGTTCTAGCTCTTTGGCTAATTGGTTTCCAAATATTGTTGGACTATTTTTATAGCCCTGAGGTAACGCTGTCCTGGTTAATTGAGTCTTTCTCCCTTTATTAACAGATTCCCATTCGAAGGCAAAGATCTTTTGGCTTTCTGGGGCTAAGGGAAGGCAGAAGAATGCATCCTTTTAGATCTAACACTGTGAACCAAATTAGACTGTCTTTTAGTTTGGTTAGAAGAGTATAAGGGTTAGCTATCACTGGATGTAGTGTCTTTGTTATTGCATTTATGGCCCTTAAATCTTGAACTAGCCTGTAAGTCCCATTTGGTTTCTTAACTGCAGGATTGGTGTGTTATAGTCTGATTTGCACTTTACTAATAACCCTAATTCTATAAATTTCCTAATTATTGGCTCAATTCCTTTTCTGTCTTCTAATCTTAGTGG